TGGCATCGTCCACAAACCGTATGCCTTGCAAGTCTGATTTGAGCCTTCCGAACAGGTAGAAATCACATGGTGCCAAATCGGGACTGTATGGCGGATGCGTCAGGAGGTTCCATTTCAATTTCCGGAGGGTTGTTTCAATTGTTGTTTTGGTCGTATGGGGGCATGCATTGTCTTGAATGAAGGCTACCCGCTCTCCACCTCTCTTCTGCTTGGATCGGATCTTTTCCTTCACGTCTTGCCAGGAGGTCTGAGTAATAAGCTGCATTGACTGTTCTGGCATCTGTCAGAAAGTCTCCATGGATAACCCCCTGCCAGTCACAGAAGAACGTTGCCATCACTTTTCCTGCCGAACAGCTCCTCCGTGCTCTCTTGGGTTTGGGAGAACTGGTATGCCGCCACTCGCGTGATGATTGCTGGGACTCAGGAATGAAGTAGTGCACCCACGTTTCATCGATGGTCACTATAGACTTCAAAAATGCATCACCTTCGTCTTCAAACTGCTGTAGGAGACGACTGGCAACTTGCATGCACACCATTTTGTTCACGTCCATCAAAGTGTGTGGTTCCCACCGTGCATTCACCTTGCGATAGTGCAGGTGGTATTTCATGATGTCTTTTACACTACTAACACTGATGGACAGCATTGCTCCAAGTTCGTTGATAGTGATGCGCCTGTTCTCACGAATAAGTGCGTCTGAACGATCAGTGTTTGGCTTGGTGACGGATGTTCGCGGCCGACTATCATGCGGTTCATTCTCCACGCACTCTCTGCCCTCTCTGAAGCACTTACACCACTCAAACACACGGGTCCATGAGAGACACTTTTCCCGATACTGTTGTTGGAGTCTGTGGTGAATTTCAGCGGACAGGACGTTTTCTCCGAGGAATTTGATCACAATGCGTTGTTCCACGCTCCGCGGTACCTTCTGTTCACTCATCACTCTAGCAACTTCCATACAGGACTGAACAGGAGGGAGGGTGGAGGTTGTGGCTTCACACTCTCAAGGTCACACAGCTGCTGCACAGTGCGGTGTGTTTACAAAAAAAAATCAGTTCCGGTCATATTTTAACCACCTAGTATATATACAAATTTATTGGGGATCATCAACGTGGGTTTTGACATAACAGATCAACAACTGATTGGATTCTTTTTGCAACTGTCATACTGGAGAGAAGATGGGGAGTATAATAAGAAAGTACATCAGCTATTCGTAAACTTAAAGAAAGCCTATGATTCAGTTTGGAGGGAAGTATTGTACAGTATTCTCATAGAGGTTTGGGGTACTCATGAAACTGTTTAGGCTGATTAAACTGTGTTTAAACAAAACATATAATATGATCTATATTGGTAAAAATTTGTCTGATAATTTTCCTATCCTGAATGGTCTGAAATTAGGAGATGCTTTATTGTCACTGATTTTCAACTTTGCTTTAGAATATGCCATTAGGAAGGTACAGGAAAACCAGATGGGACTGAAATTAAATGGGACACATCAACTGCTGGTCTATGCTGATGATGGGAATCTGTTGAGAGATAGCATAGATGCCATAAAGAAAAACACTGATATTCTAATTGACTCAAGTAAGGGGGTTGGTCTAGAAGCGAATGCATAGAAAGGTAGATGTATGTTACTGTCTCATCACCAGAATGCGGAGCAACATAAATCAGAGAACAATCATAACAAAGGTAGATAATAGATGCTTTGAAAATGTGACACAGATCAGGTATTTGGGAACGACAGTAACAAATCAAAATTTGATTCATGATGAAATGAAGGAAGGCTGAATTCAGGTAATGCTAGCTACCATTCAGTCTAGAACCTATTGTCTTCTTGTCTGCTGTCTAAAAGCATAGAAATTACAAAATAATTTTGCCTGTTCTGTATGGGCATGAAACTTGGTCTCTGACGTTTAGGGAGGAACATAGACTGAGGGTGTTTGAAATCAGGGTGATGTGGAGAATATTTGGACCAAAAAGAGATGAAGAGATGGGAGGTTGGAGAAAACTGCATAATGAGGAGCTTCATAACTTGTACTCTTTGCCAGGTATAATTACATTGATGAAGTCAAGGAGGATGAGATGACCAGGGCATGCAGCACTAAGAGGGGTTGGGGGGAATACAGGTAGGATTTCGGTGTGAAAGCTAGGAGGAAAGAGACAACTAGGAAGACCTAGATGTAGGTGTTTGGATAATATTAAAATGGATTTTAGATAGATAGGCTGGGGTGGTATCTAGCTCAGGGAAGGGACAAGTAAGGGGCTCTTGTGAATATGGTAATGAACCTTTTGTGTTCCATAAAATGTTGGGAATTTCTTGAGTAACTGTACAACTGGATTCTTCCCAAGAAGGGCCCAGTTCCATGGAATTAGTCAGTTAGTTACTTATCAACCTGGAACTAACTTGGTAAATGATGAGAACAGTGATCTGCTTGCAGAATCCCACAATTTTTTGAATAAGTGGAAGAATCACTTCTCTAACCTGTTGAATGTACAGGGAAATTTTTAAAGCAATTGATGTGTTTGATGGCTTTGCGCTTCACTGCTACTGGGTCATCACTGGCTGCTAAGTGCACACGAATTCTGTCAATGACTCAGCATGCTTGACAGCCGATAATGTTTGGAATTAAGGAAAATAATTAACTAGTATACCACTACACAGCATTATGTTACACAGCGGGAAGTGTGCTTCATGCATGGGAATTTGTAATTTATCAGCAGTAGGCTGTAGTTATCAGCGCCATGAGCCATTTGTCCTCTGTTAACAGTCAGCAGTTTGACATGACATGGTTCGCGATACTTTAGAGCAGCATGATTTCTGTATGACACCTAAGTGAAATACGGATCTGCGGATCGGTGAAAATTTCAACGTAAATTTCATGGTGAAAGAGACCCTAGCATACAAACAATTCATAATTTTGGTGAATAAACTTAGAACAGTGGGACTCTTAATAGACAAGAAAACAGACATAAGCATCAAGTGCTTACTGAGAAGTGATTCTTGTGATTTTTTCTTCTTCCTGTTTAAATTTGTATGATAGAAACGAATCAGCCTTTGCCCAACACACATTAGATAAAGGTCACCAATAAGGGCCAGTGGAACAAAGTATGGAATTGATTGAATATGCCAGAAAGGGTAACGTCATGAATATAAAAGAAAATTACTATATTTACAAATTTAAACAACTTAATGAACCAATAGAAGAACAAAAGGCTACAAAAGGCAGTGATAACCAGAATAGTATGTTTGACATAGCCTTAAGACATGAGTACACACCCATAAAAACATCACAAAGAACAGGGCTATAAATACCTCACACAACACACCACAAATCAATGCCTCAACACAACGAAAGGTGAAGCAACAACATTCAGGTAGGAACAAACAAGATAGAACTCAAAAGATCACAGTCAAAGAAATATTAAGTACTTAGACTTTTATATAAAATACCCATATAATTGCAGATTCTTAAGCAGCTATATAAGAAGGGGAAAACAACTTCCGCCTGGACCTCTACAGACGTCAATATCGCCCCAATCTTATGTTGATAGAAGAGGCACAAAGACATGAACCTTAGCAGTTTAAGATTTTAAATATTAAGAATTTTAATAATTTTTAACTCAACTATATTTTATATTTTATTCTTAACTGAATTCTTTATACAGAACTTTGATTAACTTATGTGCTATGATCAGTGTAATAGTAGTTCCCTCAACATATTGCTATGCCTTCTGAAGATGGTCTTAAGAGACCGAAAGATGTAAAGTCATTTATATAAATATATATTTGATTCACACTGGACACTGTTATTAAATCATTCTGTAATATTTAACTAGTGTGATGGCCCAGAATGAATAAAGTAAAACTCTTTGTCTTATTAAAATGAATTTGAAGCAACATCTGACCAGCTACCCAGTTTGAACCCTTTGTTTCAGCGTATTTAGGCAGTTTAATGATAGCTTCATTGGCAGCACATATGATGTCACAACCAGACATGAATTTACTGCTTGCTCAAGTTGTTCCCTAGAAATGGATCTGGGCTTAATTGCAAGAGGGATCATTTGATCAAATCCTTCATGTGTCACTCTCAAAGAACTGTTATAAAAGAACATGATACATTAAATTTCTCAGAGAACTTCATCTGTGAACTTGCTGCAAATCATTTGGCCAGCCAGATGGCAATATCAAATAGCTGTCAGAAATTAAACTCAAGAATATTACGGGATATAATGAAACTGCTGTGTGTTGTACCTTACCCACTTCTGGTACCTGTGTAAAATGTTTACATTGGTGCATTGAAGTTTCTTGGAAGCAGAGTAAAGTAGAAACCTTCCTGAACAAGATGTGTGAAGTAGTTGTGAGGACAATGGTGAAATCTAGAACTGATTTCATGCAATTCCATATTTTGATTATTTGCTTCCTTTGTTGAATAGTCACACTGCTTTTATTAATTTATTTGTGAATGCATGAAAGAGTTTTCTATGTAGACCTGTAACATCTTGTTTTGGACTCCAGATTTCATTTCCTTGCTTTCCTTACACAAACACTTTTGACATAGGTGTGGTGCATGAACACTTTAATGCTTGAACATGTAAGTTGTGTGAAACTAGTATGATTGAGTCATGACTGCTGGTTACACATGTAAACTACAGCAGCTGTAGCAAACATGGGGCTCAGAATTTTTGAGTGGATCAGAAGATTGTTCATAACCTGGCTTCAGGGTAGCTCTTCAGTAACATGTGAGTGATAATGGAGGGAAATTGTAATATGCATGTCAAAATGTGCATGAACAGATGTCACACAAGTTGAGCATTGGACTTTAACCTGAACTGCCAAATGATTTACTGCTGATTCTCAGATGATATGCCACTAGTTGTGTAGTGGGATTTCGAAGGGAACACTATTCCTGAAATATAATAGTTATTTTTACCTTATTGATAGCCTAGTGAAGCTATTCTTCAGTTTAGAACTGTGCTAATAATGTTTCCTTTCTTTTACCAGAATAATCTGAATGACCAACTCATGCATGGTGACGAGTCATTTGCTCATCAGACCACACTGAAGGATCATCAGAGCGCACACAGTGGGGCACATTCATATTCTTGTAATGTGTGTAACAAGTCATTCAACAATAAGAAAGTCTTGAAAGATCATCACCGCATACATAGTGAAAAGTGGCCATTTTCCTGTGATATGTGTAATACATTATTCAGAGAGGAAAATGTTCTCATGGCACATCAGTGCATCCCTAGCTTAGGGCATGTGTTTTCTTGTGGAGTGTGTAGAAAATCGTTTAGATTCAAGAGTGATGTGAAGAGACATCAACGCGTACACAGTGAGGAGAGGCCATTTTCTTGTGTTATATGTAATAAACCATTCAAATGGCAGAGGGATCTGCAGATACATCAGCGAGTACATAGTGGAGAGCAGCCATTTCCCTGTGATGTGTGTAAGAAACAATTCAAATACCAGAGTGATTGGAGGAGACATCAACTCACACACAGTGGTGAGACGCCATTTTCTTGTCATATATGTAACAAAGCATTCAAACGCCAGAGGGATTTGGAGATTCATCAAAGTGTACACAGTGGTGAGCAGCCATTTTCATGTGAAGTGTGTAATAAATCATTTAGTAGAAATAGCAATTTGAAGCTTCATCAACGCATACATACTGGGGAGCGGCCATTTGCTTGTGATATGTGTAAAAGACCGTTTAGATGTCAGAGTAGTCTCAGGAGACATCGACGTGTACATAGTGAAGAGAGGCCATTTTCTTGTGACATATGTAATAAACCATTCAAGTGGCAGAGAGATGTGGAGAGTCATCGACGCATACATAGTGGGGAACAGCCATTCTGCTGTGAAGTGTGTAACAGGCCATTCAGACAGAAGGCTCATCTGATTACACATCAACGCTTACATACTGGGGAGAGGCCATTCTCTTGTGATGTATGTAATAAATTATTCACCAATAAGTTTGATTTGAAAACTCATAAACGCATCCACACAGGTGAGCGGCCATTTGAGTGTGATGTCTGTAAGAAGTCATTCAAAGCCCGGAGTGAGTGGAAGAGTCATCTGCGTGTACATAGCGAGGAGAGACCATTTTCATGTAGTGTGTGTAATAAATCATTCAAATGTCGAGGTAGCTTAAAAAAACATCAAGAGGTACATAGATGGGAGCATCAGTTTTCTTATGATGTGTTCTGATGTACGAAAGTGCTAAAATAAATCAGTAACTGAATGTCATTGAGTGATAAATTTATTCACAGCTCTCAGGAAGAGATGTATATGTATGTGTGTGTGTGTGTATATATATATATATGTTGCTCTGTATTATATTCGAACTGACCCTGCAATATGGAAGGAATCCAGTGGACGTTGAGAGTGAAATGCCAAGAGAGACTGTCCTTTCAGCAATATTTGTTTTACCTTTGTATCTCCTCACCCATGCTTATGTCTGGGAAATTCGCTAGTGCACTGATGTGGCCGTGTCACTGTTTTCTTGTGAATACAGAATTAGACAACAGTTCCTGCAGTTCACAGTTCTGCATCACATGCGTAGATGACTGCCAATTAATGGCAGTGATGTGAATAAGAGGGCTACCGGCTATAAATTTCCATTAACAAAATACCAAAACAAATGATCATGGAATTGAGTTGCACCAGTAGGCTGTGTGGTTTGTCTATTATCGCCGAAAATAGATTATGCATTATGTTTGCATCTTTTCTAAGGAAGCTTCTGATGAAGTCCTGTGGTATACACAGTGCATGTATGGAAGAAGGATATGAATTATTCTGTAGAGGAAGAGTAGATTTTGGATCTGGAATACTCACAAAGGTGATTATGAAGGAGAAATCTTGATTTAAGCTTCGTTTTGTCTTGGTTCTCTCATTGTTCAGATACAGGGTGTTTTATGACTTTAGGGCATAACTGCAGGAGGTGATTTCCTAGGTCTTCGTGATCAAAAAGTTCATATAAACATGTGTCCGATTTTGGATGGTTACGGAGTTATGACCGTTTTTTCATTCCCGTACACGCCCTCCTGTGAACCGCGTCTGTCAGCTGTCGGGTTGCTATCTTTAGCCAGCTACAGACAGAGTGTTCTCGTTATCTCTACACAAGAGAGCTACCTAAGGTGGGGAGGGTTGGTATGTAAGGCGTGGTTCACAATCAAGCGGCAGTCTGTGTTGCGGACAGTGGTGGCATTTTCGAAAATCAGCTTTGAGCACCGATAAATTGAAATTAAAGGTAATTTCACGAAGTTAACTTTACATTTGTACTTTAAATGTATCATGTATTATGCTGGTTTATTATTTTGTTCTGTTTATTGTCAGTAATCGTTACCTTCTATTCTGAGTTTAAAATGGTCTTAACTCCATAACCGTCCAAAATCGGACACATGATTATGTGAACTTTTTTGATCACAAAGACCTAGGAAATCACCTCCTGCAGTTATGTCCTAAAGTCATGAAACACCCTGTATATAGATGCAATAGGCAAGACTGTTGCACCAATCAAATTTGCTTGTAGAATTTTATTTAGACACAATTGCAAGGAGGACCCCTTGAACAAAATTTTCCACCAAATATTCGGTTGTCTATCTTTGTGAACTAAACTGTTATAGAGTGTTCAGTCTCCAAATGGGGTGCTTGAGATTGTTCCTTGTGTCAGATTTCTGCCGTTATTTTGTTAGTAATATTGGACAGAATGACTCCATCAGTATCTTCATTCATAACCTTATCACTTCCAACAGTATTACGATTCCATGTTTTGTATTATGGTTTTCTTTAACCCTTTTGAGTCGTTCATTTTGCTATGTAATGTGTGGGTTATCCATCAGTAGGTGGGTTGTGCCTGCTGTTTTTCCATTATTTGCAAGGCTTCTTGCTGCAGCCTTTTGAGAAGGTTGAATTTGCTTAGGTCAAATAACTTGCTGCCTGTTACTGCAAGTATCACTTGATGAAACTGGTTTGTCAGTGGAAGATTTCCATGAATGGAAGATTGTGACATTGATGGGTCTGTCTGGTGCAAGGCTCTAGTTCCTGCTCCAGGTGGCACGTAGTGAGAGGTAAGAGGGGATACGAATAAATGCATAAGGGTAGTCCCAAACTTGCCCTTGCATGCCAACCCCCCCCCCACATTTCACCCCTTCAACAGTCCTACGAGCAATAGTCTCACAGTCACGTAGGACATGTGTGGCTCATACATATTTGTTCAGGCACCTTTTGCATGTGGGCCTATCCCTCAGTCCCATGTTGAAGATGTGCTGTTTCCGGTGACAGTGTCCTGTAAGTAGTCCTGTCACCCACCAGAACTGGTTTCTGCTTATTTTTTAGCAGTTCATTGCTTCTTCTGTCAGAGGGCCCTTGTAGGAACCCCTTTGCCTGCTTGAATTCTGTTAAGGACTCCCAGTATTTTTGGTGGTCTCTCTTTGTCCAGCTCCTGACAGCCTTCTTCGCAGTTGTTCTTGTTTTTCAAGAATGCTGGTGTATTATATATGATTGCAGGAAAATTTCTTCAAGGAACCCACCCTGAAAAGTGGAAAAATTGCGGCAACCTTGAGGTGAGTGAAAACTTTAGTTTGCTAAATGTACTGTGTGTCTCTGCACTCCTTGCAGTGCAACATGTACCTCTTTTCTTTGCATGGCTTAACAAATGCCATGCAGCAGTATTAACTATAGAACCTATCAAAAGGCTCAATGCAGTAAGGAAAGAGGCTGAAATTTGTTTGATATATGAGGAGCAAAAGTAATGTTCAGTTGCTTCAAGTGGCATGAGTCTTGTGATTGCCAAGAAGAAGAGAACTTCATTTATATTTAAAGAGTTTGATTTGGATGATGAAAAGCCTAAAATTGGGGATAGAAGGAGTACCAGTGGACTGACCAGTTGGGACTAGCTCCTCCAGTAGTGCCTGTAGCTGCTGTTTGAAGCATAAGATCCAAAAAGTAGACATGGGAAAATTGTGATATGGTTTCCCTCTGCAATCACTGCTGCAGGGCTGTCACCAGTTTGTAAAGTGGTAATGTTGCATACCGAACTCGATCGCTCTTCAGTTTAACAATTTTGAATGGATTGTGGACAGTTAATAATGCAGTTTGATCTGTGTTGCAAATTCTTTGAGATGGAATAGATCCCAAACTCTCATGCAGGTCTGAAATATTGAAGAAATTATCAGTATGGATGGGAGTTCTATTGAAGTTTTTTGACCAGGATGGATTGGTAGCTTCTGGCTTCCTAATCAACAGCTCTTCATCGTGTTTTCTCATTTACGCTTTCATCCATTTGTCTCAAGCAATATGCTCTCATTCATTTTGTGTGGGTATTTATATATATTCGTTCTCTGTACTTGACTTGAGGCTCAGAAAACTTCTTTCTTCAGTAGTCCATATTCCATTCTTGCAGTATTGTACTGTACAAGGCTTTCTTCTTATTCATTTCCGCTTCATATTATATTTCATCTTCAGGCTGCTTGAAGGATTGATAAAGCTGTCTGGACTAGGTAAGTTTGAGAGAGTGGTCATAAATGATTCAGAAGGTTTATTACTCTACAACCAAGGATGTGTAAGCCATGGAAGGCTTGTGAATGCTGCATTCATTTTTTACCATAGTAATCCTCACACCCCCCAACCTTCTTTCTCCAATAATGTGACTGTAAGCCTATTCTGACCTTGGGGGATGGTATTCTACCAGTAGTGAAACTGGAATTTCCAACAGTAGTTCACATTTGGGGGGGTACTAGGCTAAATAGAATTATATTGAAAGGATCAGCGTACCTGTCCTTGTGCAATCTGTTTGCAATCTGTCGTGCATCCTCTTTCTAATCTTAGGTCCCGTACTTACCATTTAGTTGCTTGGCATGTTGTTCCTGAAAATGGTAGCAGTAGCTTTAGCAAGTCACTGTGACGTCTCATGGTGTTACATGCCATATTTTAATAGTTGTAAAGATTTCTTCAGTCACCTGAGATCAGACTGACTCTAGACAGAGGAATCTTGCAAGATTAGGTATATTTGATAGTGACTAGCAAATTCCACATCACACTTTGAGGTACACTTTTAGTGATTCTTACACAAACACAGGGATTCAGGTGTGAACACAGATAAGTCAGACACATTTTTATCTTTTTAAGGCGACAAGAGTCCTGTATGTGTAATTCTTTCAGTGATAACTTTGTATAGACCACCTTCTGTCTTGTGCCCCGAAAATTAATTGGACAATTCTGCTTCAGCTAATTCCTCAAAGAAAATTAAAAATATTCATCACATGCCAGTCTGAATGAACTATAATGAAAGAATTTTGTACGTTAAATTTATACGTGAAGCTCATCTATAACCCTACTGCAAATCATTGGCCAGTCAAATGGCAATATCCAGTACATATTAAGACAGACACTTACAAAGATGACGGCATATGCTGGAAGTGCTGTATGTTTTACTTCACACACTTCTGGTACCTGTGTAAGTTTACATGCATGTGGTGAAGTTACTAGGAAGAAGAATGAAGTAGAAATAGGAAACCAAAGTTCTGGAGGTATTTTTAAGGAGAATATTGAACCCTAGAACTGGTATCATGGAATTCCTCTTCAAGAAGCTGTTCATGTTTTGATTCCTACCACTTTTTCCCAGTAATGACACTAGCTCTGTTAATTTATGTGTGATGATGTTAATAATTTTTTCTTTACAGAACTATAACACGTTGGAGTTTTCTCCATAATCTTGAGGTTGCTTTCATTTCACAAGCACCTTTCATGTAGGTATGGTATCTGAGCACTGAGTTTTCGAATATGCATCTTGCATGGAATTTTTAAACATGGAAAATGGCATAATTAAGTTATGACTGCACATTGCAGGTGTCAAATATGGTAGCTGTAACACATGGGCTCAGGATTTGCGAGTGTATAAGCTGGCTTCACTGTAGCTGATCAGTAATGTATTTGAGTGATAACAAAGGGAAGTTGTAGTATGGGCATGTGCATGAATAAATCTCACACAAGTGGTGCATTGATCTATCACCTGTATGGCTGAATGAGTTTCTCCTGATTCTCAGATGACCTCCCAGTAGTCATGTAATGGAATTTGGATGGGAGTACAGTTCAAGAAACTTAATATTTATTTATGTTATTAATAGCCTCCTGAAGTTGTTCTTTGATTAAGCTAATAATGATTCATTTCCTTTACCAGAATAATATGAGTGAACAACCCCTACATAATGATGAGTCACTTGCTCTTCAGACCTCACTGAAGAATA